CTCTACTATCGAGATGTTCCATTATCCGAACATTGTGCATACAACACTTCCCTATTTTAATTCCGTTGAATAAATTACAGTGGAACCTTCAGTATCCGATGATCTACTTATTCCAATGTTCTACTACTATTCGCATACTCCATTATCGAGATACTGCACCGTAACACTGTGTATACACTTTCCTGTTCGTGTCATCTACTATCGAAACAAATAGTCGATAAACAGCAGTACATTCTTCGTACAATATTGTATACGTTTAAAACCTCGATTAAACAATGTGATCAAGGGAAACAAACAATACGGGATAAATCAAAGTCTTATTGTAAATATCGGTCAAAAATCAATCAACTCGAATGTTCGGTTTAAACGATTTGATCGTAGTACTATAAGTTTTGCCATGTTTTGCCGTAATATTAACACATTACCTGCCAATGACCTTTTTTTGGAACGCATTTTGAAATTTTTTTTTCTAATAACTACAACTTCAGAATGAACTATATTCGTAAAAATCATGAAATCGTACACCTCGTGCTTCATGCAAATATTTAAAATTGCCATTATTTTATTTTAAATCAATAATTAATGATATAAAATAATTTTTATATTTGAATAAAAAGAAACAATTGTTACAATAATAGTTCTATTCGGTTAGTATGAATATCGTTATACAGTTAATTTAATTTTTTGTTGCATTTTAGTATTATAGCGGGTATGGGTTAAGAGAGAGTAGAGTTTATATTAGTTTTTAAGGCTAAATTGTTATGCTTATTATTGTAATTATAATTGTTTTAATATTATATATTTATAATATTGAAAAATTAATGTATAAATTATAATAATGTATATTATTATTATTATTATTATTATATTTTATTTTATATTATATATTATAATATATAATATAAAATATTAATTAATATTAATTAAATTTCTCATTAAATCCCATTAAATTAAAATATTAATATATATGTATATAATAATAATAATAAAAAGAGAATAAAAAAATAACGCGTGTCACGGGTGACCCACGTGGCCCATTTGAATGAATGAACGGCATGTGACAAACATTCAAGATGTTAACAAACTTAAGATAATAGATAACCAAAACCTCGATTACATCGTTTAATCCAGACGTCGAATTAGGATCAAGGTCCTATTCTGTATTTTTTTTATTTTTTTCACATCACATTTGTTACCGTTATTATATTACAATAATCTTATTAATATCTTGTAGTCGCATAATTTGGTTGTAAATTTGTATTATACACCATTTCTTCAAAATACGGTCATCTTCCCAATTGTGTGTAAAAAATTATTATTTTATTATACAAAAGATTCCTTCCTTCTAACAGTTATGGTTGTCCTATTCATTCGGATACTGGTTGTTTCTACTTTCGTATTCCGATCAATATCTATCTAGCTATATCCATAAATCTTATATCATAAATCTTTCCTTCGCATTTCCGTCTTCTTATCTTTTATTTCCACTTTGTTTGTTTGTTTGTTTTTTTTTCTTTTCTTTTCTTTATCTTTACTTCTTCCTCTTCTTCTTTTCATCTTCATCTTTTTGTAATAACAGAACGAGTGTATCGATCGTAAAAGGGGAATCAAAAGAGAACAAAAATGAAGTCATTGGGGTTTCAGTGCACGTAGGAATTTTCTTAAGATATTTTGAAAGCTAAGGAACGATTAAACCGTTCAACATTTTGGCGAGGTTTGAGAGAAGAAACTGTCGTACCCATCCCTAACCTGAACCCCAACCCCAACTCAGATCTCCGAAGCCCACACCACAATATTCTCTTCCAACTTACTTCATCCCATCCCATCCCATCCCATCCCATCCCATCCAACCTAAGAGAATGCGGCACATCCACAAAACACGTCACGTCAAGAAAAATAAGTCCTCGAAAGTACCGACGACAACCGACCGTCCATCCGGTGAATCGATTAGGTTACTTTTGGCCATTTCTTTAAATACAAAATTGTGTCTCGTACAAAAATAATACTATACGATATTTTTTGAAAAAACACGTTTAACTTATAAGCCTAAGTAGCATATATATAAAAATATAATAATCCTCAGGGCTGTTGGCTCACTCGCTACTTACAGTTTACTATTGTAACTAATGAATTATACACTTAATACATTTAGGAACCGCTCAGTACAGCGCGCCTTACGGAACCTTCGTACTGTTTAGTTCATATCTTCTAAACGAATCGAGATACCATTACAATTTTTTTTAGCATAATATTTCTACACTATAAGCTTTTTTTAAGGTAAAAATAAAAAAAATTAAAATATGCAAAGTTTAATAAATTCACATTTTTAATTTTAACTTCCGGTTTACTAGACGAAAAAAAGTTCAATTTCACATTTTTATTTACTTCCAAGAAAATTAATTTATATTCTCTAATAAACACGATTTATTTCTTATATAATCCATTAGATTCACTCTTTTAATAGTATTCGAAAAATCTACTCCATAAATTGGTAACTAAGGTAAAATAAAAAAAAATAATGATGTACAATTATTGAGGTCCCATAGAACAATCAAGCTAATTATGAACAAAATCCACGACCTCACATTTTTTTCGTTGTCCGCGTCACGTGAAATGCCCCATATATTTAATTAATATTAAAATTTAAATTATTAATATTAAATTAAAATCAATTTTTTTTAATTTTAATTATAAAAATTGTTCATATTAATATTAAAAGTTAATACGAAAATATTAAAATAATTATATATTTAATTGATATTAAAATAAAAAAAAATATTAAAATTTTATATAAAAAATACAAATTTCATATAAAATATTATTATATATAATTTATATTTTGTATATTATATATATTTTTTTCACGTATATAAAATCCTTTTATATATAAATATAATATTTATTAAATTAGTATAACAAAAATCGTCTCTACGAAAAACGTGTACAAAAGCGCGCGCGTGTGTGTGTGTGTGTGTGTGTGTGTAAATAAAAAATAAATTCAATTCACTTCCATTCTTTTTTTTTCTTTTGTCTTCTTTTTCTTCTTTTTATTTTTAATAAAAAATTCTGACCATCGAATTTTGTTTGAGCTTCCAAATTGACGTGGGTGAATAAAAAATAAAGCGGCGGTTTGGAGTAAGGGTAGGGAAAGAAAAAAGGTTCGTTTAATAATAAATATCGAGTTACTCGGAAAAGTTCGTGCCAAATTTTTTGAAAAAAAAAAAAAAAAAAGAAAGAAACTTTCCAAGCGCTTTTTAATATTTCGATTTATATCATATACGTTTAAATTTGATATACGAGGGATGGACTGACAAGATTTGGGAGCGGGTTTTTTCTTCAAATAAAACTGCGATCAAATATTAACGAACAAAAATTGTTTTTTTATGTTAGTGTATTTGTAAATCACCCACGAGTTTTTTTTTCTGCAAAAAGCAATACAACATGTAGGAGTATACTATAATATCGAAAAAACTTATTATTAGTTTAACTGACAATACAACGATATGTTAATTAATGTATTGGGTTTGCAAGAAAGTAATTTTGGTTTTTTAGTTTAAAATAAAACTCAATTGTTTATTTTTACGTTTATTTTTAAAATTACACGAAATATGTTTCTATAGCAACCTAAAAGTGTCAACTACCAAATCTCCAAAAAAAAAATTCTAGCATTACCACTAGATTGCCCAAGGAAGTCATTTTGACTGTTTTTTAGTTTCAATTAGAAAAAAAATTATGTATATAATGATATAGCAATTTTTTAGAATTATGTTGACTTTTTGTACAACATGTAAATGCGTTTATTAATAATTTTAATTACCTCCTCCCCTCCTTCATTTCCTGTATATATAGGTATATATAAAGTTTCGGTCTTTCTAATGTTAACAAAAGACGTTATCTACTGGTGCAAGCCGAAATTATTGTACTTTCTTGCCAACCCAATAATAGTAAAATTTGAAATAAATTTGAACAATGCACGAAATAGTAGGATACTTTGAATTCTGATTGGACGTTATGCGAAGATTCAAAAAGTTAATTTTTTCTAATAATTTTTGTACTTTTCACATGACCGAGTTTAGCAGACTCGAAGGAAGAAAGAAGAAAGTTTGTGGGAATGTATCTACTAGTTTGTTCTTTTCCTTTATCCATCTGTTCTCAACATCAGAACTTGATAAACACACAGAGAATGGAGAAACAACGGTTATAGGGGATCCATAAAAAGCCATATGTACTCTTTTTCTCTTATCTCCTCGTCATTTCGATTGCGAGTGATACCAGAAATCAACAATGAAATCGTTTCTGTTCGATCGACTCAATTTTTCTCACTCTTTGTATGTGTGTGTATGTGTGTAAATTTTGTACGAGTATAACTTTGTCGATTGATTTCATTCAAATTTAGCCATCACTTGACATGAGGTTTGATCGATTGGTGTTGCCACATTACTAAATTAGAAACGGTCAATGAAGAAGAAAAATATTCATAGAGAAGGAGAGGGAGTAAAAAAAAGGGGTTCTTAACTTATTAAAAATAGATTAAATAGACGCAATAATATATTAAGCTGGTTTTGCAAAACAACTCGAAAATATTTCAGGGTCACGAAGAGGCCCGTTCTCGTCTTAAACGGTCATCGAATCCTTTCAAAGTAGAGAGGAAATATAAGAATAGTCAAATACCGAAGAATTCCGAGTATTGATATTAAAATATTAAAAGAGGGAAGTGAATATATTTTGGTTTGTACGCATTTTAAAGACTGGACTCAATGATACATGCAAAAATCGTTGATGACATATGAATACCAGAAATTGGGACACAGCATTAATAATTATAACAGTGAAAAATTTGACAAAAATGGGTTTAAAAAAGAAATGTTGAAAATTTGTAATGACCAAATTGTCACTGTTATGATTATCATCTCGTATAAAGAAAAGAAGAAAAGAAAAAAAGAAAAAAGAGAAAGAGAGAAGACAAAGTGTCGCGCATAATCATCATCATCGGTCCTCACCTCTTGCGCTTGCACGGCCTCCTTAACACAGGCACCGAGCTCGTCGACCTTGAGGCTAGCAGTCTCCGTCGGTGAGCTTCGTCTAGAATGACGATGCGTCGTAGATGTAATAGTAGTAGTGGTAACAGTAGTGGTAGTAGTACTAATAGCAGTAGTAATGGTAGCAGTAGTTGTTGTTGTTGAAATTATATCAGTGATGTTTGGAATAGTGTTAACTGTTGATGAAACAATAGCAGAAGAAGAAGAAGAAGAAGAAGCAACAGTAGCAGCAGCAGTAGTAGTAGCAGCAGCAGCAGCAGCAGCAGCAGCGGCAACAACAACGGCAGCAGCAGCGGTAGCTGTTGTTGTTGTGGTGGTGGTCGTAGTAATCGTGGTTGTTTTCGTCGAAGAGGATGCACAAATTTCTTGATGAATATCCGGTGCAAGCTCTTGATAACAAGATTCACCGGAACCACGTCTGCTTCCAGCGATACACATCGCCCTACGAAAAAGTGCAGTAACCACGGCGCAAAGGCCGCATTGCGTTCCATTTGCGCTTCCTCTGCTAGAGAGGGATCCCCCTCCTCCATTGCTACGAGCCGTTTTCGTAGCCGTTGTTGTCGTCTTCGTCGTCGTCGTAGTCGTATTTATTGTTGATGATGCGTAGTAAGGTGGTGTTGTTCTACGCCGAGTTTTCGTTAAACTTCCGGGATGCCGCGAACCGGAGCTGTGCGATGCGGAACGTGAACCGGAACGTGAGCCGGAACGTGAACCGGACCGGGAGCCCGCTTCGCGACCCTGGGACGCCAGTTTTGGGCCTTAATCCTATTTTATTTATCTCTTTTTTTCTTCTTCCTCTTCTTCTTTACATTATTTAATTGGTTTCTTATTTCTTTTCTTTTTCTTTCAGATTTGTGAATTGAATTCTTTGATTAGAATAAACACGTCAAATCCAAGCATCCTTCTTCTCGTATCTATGACCATTTCGGTAACAACCGAGGATGAAATATTTCCAACACGAAACAACAATCCCTTCTTCTACCTTTCCCTTATTTTTTTATGTATTTACCGCATAAATACATGCATTCTTTTTAAACGTTGTTTCATATCGCACGACACCAATCTCAATAATCAAAATTCCTGCACCATCATCATCATCATCCATACATCCGTGATTTAAACTCTCTCGGCTAGTCTTATCTCTTTATCGAATGTTAATGTATCTACCGTGTTATATATATATATGGTTGGATATATATATTGTATATATAGGTATGTGTTTCTATACGCGAATCGATCGATTCACGACCGAGTGAATATAGAATATAGTATTCTTATTCTTGCACTCACACGCGCGGTTTATTCTTCACAGCTAAAGAAGGCATACTGCTTCCGGGTACCTTAGGTTTTCAATAACATTTCAATGGGTTCATATCGAGGAGTGAGAAAGAGAGAGGTAGAGAGATCGTAACACATCGACAATTTATTTGCTAATCGTGTTACACTGTTGCGAAAATTAATAAAGTAGGTAACGCGCACCGGAAATGGACCGAAAGAGAAAGAAAGAGATGGAGAATAAAAGAGAAAGAGAGAGAGAGAGAGACAGACAGACAGACAGAAAGAAAGACAATCGATCACCCGATGTACCGTTGAAAGAAATAAATGGAAAGACTTTTATTATCTTCTTCTCATATTACTATCTTATTTAGACCTTTCGCGTATTAGGTGTTGATTGATATACACATATGTATTTGTATATGTATTTAAATGTATTCAAATAATAAGCAAAAAAATAATAATGAAAAGAAAAAGAATAAATTAATTAGATAATTGTATATATATTTAATAAATAAATTTAACCACCATTTAAGGCCAAAAGGTAAAAGTAAAATATTTACTACTACTACTACTACTACTACTATAAAAATATTTTCAAAAGATAATATATATAATATATAAAATAAAAAATAATAAAATGGTGAATAAGTTTGCTATGTTTTTCACGTGTTATTTAGAAAAATGTATGTGTAACCAAATAAATATATAAAAATAAGATAAAAATATAAAATATATAACTATTAAAATGAATAAAAAAGTTACGTGCAATTTTTGTTTTATTATTTTACTTAGAAAAACTGGATTAACTCATCAAAAAAAAAGAAAAAAAAAATAATGTAACGATAAGTATTTTAATGGTTCAGAAAAAAAAGTAAACTCGGATAATCAAAAGATGAAGTGAAAAAATAGTGAAAGAGAAATATGGCACGCGTTAAACATCACGATGATTTTTATTCCCGATAACCTTATATCCTCTTTTCTCCTAGGATATCATGTATATATATATACATTATATATCATATATACTAATAGATGTAAGCGAGTAAGTGCCTACTTACTTACATCATTGCGAATATTTAACAAGGAAACATAGTGTCTCTTCTCTCTCTCTCTCTCTCTCTCTCTCTCTCTCTCTCTTTCTTTCCTTCCCTCTTTCTTTCTTTTTCTTTTTTTGGTATCCTCTTCGATAAGAGATAGATAGTGAAAAGGAGGTAAAATGCAGCAAAAATTCTGGGTTATTCGTGAGGTTAGAAGAAAAAGAAAGGGGAAAGAAAAAAAAAGGCGAAAGGGCTATACTCTTTGTTCCCTTCGACCTCGTTTCTATGCGAACCTTTTGTTCTCTCGTTTGGAAGGGGAAAAAGAAAATTTTAAATAAAAAAAAAGGCAGAGAGAAGAAGAGAGAAAAGGAAAAAAATAAAAAAAGTAAGTAATTAGAAAATTGTCGTAAGTATCTCTCAACGTTTCACAGTTGGAAGAATATACTTGGATAAAAAAATTGATGAAATAAGGGTGAGAATACAATATATATATATATGAACGAACCTAAATTGTAATGAATGAAATTATATTTCTTTTTATAAAAATTATTAGCCAAAATTTTTGAAAGTTTTTTACGTTCACGTGGTACACATTAATTTAAAAAATTCAAATTTGTTTTTTGCTAGTTATTAAATTAATAATAATTGTGTAAAAATTATAGAAGAAAAGAAAAAAAAACGAACACACACACACGCGTGCGCGAGCAGCACATACACGAGTATCGTGACTTCGAATGTACGATTAAGTTTTCGTACGAGTTTAAAGTGTTTATTCGAAACGATGCACAAGGTTTATCGAATCAATACCATTTTCCAATCTATTTGTATTATCAATACTATTGGCTGCTGCTTCGCCGCTTGGATAGTTTATATATACGTGTATATAAGTATATAAGTATAAAATATATATATATATAAAAAATAACCAAGAAAAGGTCGTAATAAGAACGTTGTTCGTCTTATTCTAGTTTTTTTCTCTCTGTCTTCCTTTTCTTTTTTTTCAATAATATCGTTGACAACAACGCGAATAATTTTGCATTAGCAAGGATTTATCTGAAGCTTAAAGTGTTTAGAATTATATTTGTATTTGTCAAAGTATATAGCGATTTGTCTAATAATATTCGTAAATTCTAACGATGATTTTAATTTCAATGATTAATTTTAATTTTGTTCTCCAACTTTCGATTTAATTCGAAATAAATGTTATTATGGTCATACGTAAACGCGACACGTATGTAAATAATACCCCATCCATGAAATATTGGATAAAAATTTTCTTACCGTTTACATTATAAAAAAACACGTAAAGCGAAGATCGAAATTCCGTGGCATTAAATATGTGATGCACGTGTTAAAGTATCCGCCGACATAGAAAGAAGGTCGAGATTAATTTAAAAGGGAAGTCATCGTTTGCACAACGTCATTACGATTCACGAAAGATACGTTAGGTGTGCAGATTAGAAAATAAGAAAGTTATGCTATTCGAATTGAAATCTCGAATTGTAATCGGTCCTTAGAATTAATCTTGTTAGATAAATTTTATAATTCCCACAATGATGACTATACGCGGAACACTTTCAACAGTTTCATTGAGATAAAAGAAAACAAAACTAATTGGGAGATTAATTAACTCAGATAAGGATAATAATAATATAACGTCCGGTTGGTTAGATATTGGCCATTAATTTCGAAGAAATCGCGAATTATCAATATCCGCGAAATAATCGTGGTAGAGAGAGAGAGAGAGAAGCTCGTCGTGGCTCGTTAACGTTGAGCCAAAGACTTCGCGAACAACATATGAATATTACTGACGCAGTTAAGAACGCGATTATTGTTTATATTACATGACGAATATCGAGACGCGTGAGTATTTGAAAAATACTCGCGGTTTAAATGCATCTATCTCTGTTGAAATAAAAAAAGAAAAAGAGAGAGAGAACTACTAGCGAGTTTCGATTGCTCGGTTAGATTTGAAACGATTTAAAACAAAAAAGAAAAAAAAAGAAGGAAAAAGGAAACACGAATACAAAGTGAAAGGAGGAATCGAAATGTGCGTGCACTGGTTCGATAAAATATCGTGTGTTTAGAGATGCGCGGCGTACGATCGACGACCTTTCTCTACCTCAAGCCAGTAGAGTACTGAAAAAGGAAGCGCGAGGGTGTACCTTCTCCGTTTGGAGGATAGTCTGCCACTCGTGGCGCTGAGACGAGTAACATCCTCGACGCGAGGTAGAGAAGAAGAAGAAGAAGGACGAGGACGAGGACGAGGACGAGGACGAGGACGACGACGACGACGATGACAACAGGGTAACGCCCGCGCAGAATACGGCGCACAGTAATACAAATTCTTATCGTTTCCAAAGCCTAATAGAAACTCATCGAGTTCCATCCTTGGCTCCGTGCCTTCTTCTTCCTCGACGATATCGACGAGGGGCCTGTGGGCCCCCTCGACGCCACCGTCGCCGTCGCCGTCGCCAGGGACGACGCCGGGGACGTTAGAAACGACAGGAACGCTGCCACGACGACGCCTTCTTGCGTTGGCCCCGATCGCGCACACGCTTCTTCTCGTCCCGACGTGACGACGACGGCGACGACGGCGACGACGATTATGTGGTTGTGACAGAGAAAATAACAAAGGAAGAAATATGACAGCGCGCGCGTCCCTTTGCTGGAACGAACGCACCAGTGTTTTAACGAGGGACGAAAACCAAACGTGTGTGCAACGAACGTCTCTGTCTATGGCTGGTTTAAAGGAAGGAAACAAAAGTGGATAAAGTGTTGTGTATGCTCTCTGTATATATGTATAACAGTATATATAATATGTATATACTGTTCTCTCTTTCTACTCGTATGTCAAAGTGAGAAAGAGAGAATGAAAAAAAAGATCGGTTTGGTAGCGAAACGCTACCCTCCGTCAACGCAGTGCACGTCGGCCAGCCGGCCGCTATGCACACACTGAGCCCGTACCAAAGCGTCCAGCCGCCGAGACTCGGTCGACGCTCGCCGTCGGCTACCTTCGGCCACTTCCGCCGTTCGACTTCGGCAGCCTTCGGATGCTCGACCACGCTTCCCAGTTATACTCCCTCGCCCCCCACCACAACACTCTGGCACTCTTCTTACACGATACATCCGCAACACCACGCACAGTACTTTTCAATACGCGACGAACTCTCGTCGCGCGAGTGTTTGTCCTCCTTTGACATCTACACGAATACGCTTTCTCTCTCCCTTTCTCTTTCTTTTTTTTTGTTTTTTTGTTATTTTCAAGCACGTCACACCTTATCCTTTCTATTCCACCACTGTATATGAATCTAACGAGCAGGGATGAGCAAAAAAAATGTATAAACGTGAGATAGTGTTAGAAGTAAGAAATAAAAAAAAAAGGGATAGGGGTTGAGGAAGACGAGGGGAAGGGGGGAAATGGATAGATGCAAATTCGTTTCCGTATTCTATGCGTGTACTTAACTACGACGCGATATGCACCAGGATATGCATATGTACATATATACACATTCATGGTATATATTTATATACACACGACGAGTTAACGGTCTCCCATGCGTGTTTTACATGACATTACGTCGTGTAAATTAAATTTCACTATCTAATATGAAAATAAACTTTATCGCGATGCACCTTTCTGATCCATCTTCTTTGGTTGATTTAACGAGAAAAGCTTAAGCTCCATCGTCGGGATAAATGTTTATGAAAAAAGAAAATGATTTATCTTTTTTTAAGATGTGATACGTATAATTTTAAAATACAATACTTATATATCATTTTTCTTTTCGGAAAATAATAAATTTGTTTTCCCCTCTTTTACGTATACCTAAAACGTCCAACATATATCACGTAGTGTAATGCATTCAACGTTTGTTCAAAAATACCGAATGCAGTTGCATCTAACTGTTCAAAGAATAATTCTATAGAATGAGAACAAGATAAACGATATCGCTTTACAAAGAATTGTTGATCGTTCGTTATTACTCTTTCTCATCTTATATTATATTCATTTTTTTATACGATAAAACTTATTCATATTTTATGGAAAAGGATATAAAAGTTTGAGAGTGGAGAAAGAAAAAAAAAAGGATTTATTCAATATCCTACGTTAATTTTCTTTTCTCAAGAATAACGGTAAAAGAAAAATAAATAAAAAAGATTACAAGAGAAAAAGGAGGAAGTGGTGGAGAAGGAGGAAAAGGAAAAAAGAAAAAGAATAACAAACACGGGTACTCTGCAATATAACTTGTAAGATTAACGACAAAATATTGTTCGAAAGAGTATATCTATAAGGACGAAGGAAATATTACTTCTATTAATAGGACAAGTTACTTGCTGTGCTTCATAATCAAAAACACTGAAAGGTAATAAAAATACAAAAAAGAAAGACCAAATAAATAAAAAAAAAAAATAATTCATCTTTTAGGTGTAAATACGTGGGTAGGAAAGAAAAAAAATATGAGAGAAAAATGAACGAGAGAGAGAGAGAGAGAGAGAGAGAAAGAGAGTCTAAGTAACGTGTCCATTTGAGAAACATTGCAGGAGTAGAGGAGTCCCTTTTTCCCTTTTTCTTTTTCGCTCTATAGTTCCAGTAAAAGAAGGGAACTGTTTTTCGGGCATCGACCTCACGATTGCAGGCATCCCTTCTCCACCTCCCCCCCTTCTCCTATTCCTCCTCCTCTTTCAACGTTGTCAGTAGCTCTTTCTCTAGTCATGGCTGCTGCTATCTAACGATTCCGTCTACTTCCACCCTCCTTTTATCTATCATTCTCGTCGTCCTCCTCTTCCTCCAAACTCTCCCACGATTTTCTTTCTTTTCTTTCGTCTAATCCATCTTTTTTCCTTTATCTTTTCCTATGCTTTTACTCTTTCCTTCCCTCCCCTCCCCTCCCCTCCCCCCTCTTCTCTCTTGTTCTTTCTCTTCTTATAATTTTTTTTCCTTTTTTATTTCAATTTTTATTACACTTGAAAAAGTTACAAAAACAAGAAAAAAAAAACACATTTTATATGTAGAAAATATCCAATTCGTTTTACTCGAAGAAGAAAAAAAAAAAGATCGAGAAGATAGTTTTGACTATGACGATAATCGAGAATAAAGTAATTCTCGTAAAATTGCTAACTAAATCTCTATCTAGAATGGTTCAGGAGATATATGGTTTTATAGGGAGATTTATTTTATGTCCGTAAAAGGTGGAAGAGCAAAAGTCGAAATGAAAGAAAAAGAAGAAAAAGAAGAAGAAGAATAATAGGATAATTATAGAGAGTAAATGTTCGAAAACGAATGAAGCACATTTCCTAATATATCTAAATATTTCAAAATATTGTTAAAAATATATCTATACAATATACACAATTACATAGATTGAGTTAGCAAGAAAGTAATTTTGGTTTTCTAGAGTGAAATAAAACTCAATTGTTCCTAAACTAACAGTTGTAAACAAAATTACACGGAATTTGTTTCTATAGTAACCTAAAAGTGTCAACTACCAAAACTTAAAAGAACAAAATTCTAACATTAACAAAAGAATAACGAAACAAACATAACTTTATCTATTGGTGCAAGCCGAAATTACTTTCTTGCCAACCCAATATAATATTATTATAGATAAATATTGCAGATATAAGTAACAGGGTGTCTGAAATTCTTTTCGGTCAAACCGTCTCACGAAAACATTACAGAAAATCGATTGGAAATTTAATGAACAATCAAATTTATTGAGTAAATTTGAACATTTATAATTGATATCATAAATCTAAAATAAAACCATAAATGGTATACGTTTATAAAACATTTTTCTTTTTAATTTAGTCCATAGAATATACTAAAATCGTTTAGAAAAACCTCAGACACCCTGTATATTGATTGATAGATATTACAGAGGTACTATATAGATACATATATATGTATCTATATAATATACCATATAATATATATATATATAGAAGCGCGGAAGAAGACTTGTACGAGAATGGATCGTCGTAGTAGGTAAGTGGATGGATGGTAGAATTGGGTGCGAGAGAATGTGCGCCTAAAGGGGGTACTACTTCGGCAGGGAGGTTCGAAGGGGCAAAAGCAGGGTTGGTTAGTTCGTATGGGGTAGGTACAGGGAATTGCGCTGGCGCACCAGGACTCTTCCATTGGCTGCGAGTTTATCCTGGAAGCCCGGGATTCATTGAGCCCTTCGCGCGAAACCGTTCTAACCTATGAATCTACACACACCTGACCAACCTTATTTTAAACCCCCCCCTGCCTCTTTCGCCATTGTCTACCTTTCTGTGACTCCACCTTTGTTTTTGTTTTATTTTTTTACTATTATTTCTATCTTATCTTTTCATTATTTACGTTAATAATTCGATGAAAAGGGCAAGGACGTAAATTCAATTGGAAGGAGGAGGCTCAGATTTTTCCTTAGTTAGAAGGTGTAAGATGATTGGTTAGAATCTATATTTCATTACCCCCACTTCAATTACCATTTGCTTTTTATTTATGTTGATCGTTTGTATCGAAGATGACGACAAAGATGACGTCATAAATTTCGTCAGAGAACACGTTACAACGTAAGATATTTTTTCCAATCGGGGGAATCCTAACGGTATATATATACCCCTAAACTATAGTAATAAATTCCAGGGAAATTTAACGACTCCACCTTTATTTCTACTACTACTACTACTACTACTACTATTACTACTAGTAGTACTACTACCACTACTACTACTACTACTACTACTACTACTACTACTTCATTTTCTTCTTGTTTACGTTAAATATTTTCTTTTTCTTTTTTACCAAGAAATGAAAACGACTATGACGACGACGACAATAACGACAATATAATTTCCATGAAATATTTTCACTTAACAAAATATCCAACGCTACAACGCATATATATTTTAAAGTATACAATAAAATAGAATCAAAGTGAGTGGTAAATTGACGAAGTGAGTAAAAGTCATTTTATATTATACATCAACTTAAGAAAAAAAAAACTTCACTTGGTTTAAGAAATGAAAAGGAATAAAAAAGAAAAATAAACGATAAGTAATTCACGGCATGAATGTTGAACACAAAATTTACAAAGCTTACACGGGAGAGATGATGCGTTAATTGGTGTGATACTAATTGGGTAAAGAAGATGAGACTTATCGACGCTTATTAGAAGCAACACTAACACCAACACCAACAGTAGCAGCTGGTGCTGGTATTGGTACTGGTTCTAGTGGTGTTGGTGTTGATGTTGGTGTTGGTTATGTGATGCAACACACTCGAGAAAGATCGTCCTAAGAACTCGGTGTTCCTCTTTCGGTTTACGAAGCGTAATTTTCAAACGACGTACCACCTCAGAGCCATATTGATTCTAGCTTGGTGTATTATACACAAACGTGGAACTTGTATATCGAGGAGGAAGGGAGGAGGGGCCTGAAGCGAGAAAGAGTGACGAACAGAGGGAGAAAGAAGAGGAAGAGGAACAGGAGGAACGTGGCTAAGGGATGAGGGGGTGAAAAAAAAAGGTAGAGAGAACGAACGAGGCTCGATCGAACACACTTCCCAACCCCTCCTCAATCCTCAACCCTCACCCTCACTCCTCACTCTTTTCCATCCAACGATACTCCCTATATACTCTATCTCTTTCTCACTCACTCACTCACTCACTCACTCACTTACTCTTCAACATTTCCTCTCCGCGTGGTTCCAACCTCTTCGACCACTTGAGCGTTTCCTCTACGTCGTTGATTTTCTCTCTCTCTCTCTCTCTCTTTCTCTCTCTCTCTCTCATTCTCTTTTTCTCTTTCCTTTCTTCCTCAGCCTCATTAACCTTTCTCTCGATTCGCGAGTAACACTTGGAAATAGGCCATGCTTGCAAATCGTTCCATAAGGAGATGATACTTCCTAAACGACGACGAAGACGATGTAAGAATATATATTATATGGATATATGTATAATAAGAATATC